AAGGAACCTCCTGATCTGTGTAGGCATTGTCATATTTGATGTTACTAGCTAATCAACATTAAACACCTGACCACAAAATACCACTTTCTGCTGGTGTCTCAATCAGCAATATCTAGAGATGAGGCACTTAGGCAATGGCAACTGTTTCCTTATAAGCCCACCCCATGGCTTGATACCAATGTCTTCCAAACAAACTGCGCTCAAATGTAATATAAAATAGGACATCTAAGTGGATGACTAGAGCTGCTTCTAATGTTCGAACTGTTCTGGTGCTCCCCTTTTCCTCTCCACCTATTTTCCCTACCCCTGCCCACCCTACTTCTCCTCCCTATACAATTTGGCTATTTTGTGATTACAAAAAGATATATTGATAACATTGACAAAATGTACCTATTTGGAAAAGCCTGTTCATTGTTACATATATCTTGTTAATTGTGTAATTAAAACATTGGAAAATACAATAAAATATTTTGGAAAAATACAAAAATTGGTCCTCTATCTCTCTCATACACACAGTCAATAGAAACAGTCCAATCCAAATGGTTCCCATAAAAGGTATTCCTACTTTAGTACTAAATGGTTGCCTTGCACCAATACCAGTGCAAATACTAAGCACTTGCACGAGCACTTGTACTCAGGCAAATGCGCCAATACTAAGACTGATATCTTTAATCTCTGAGTTCACATATGCACATATGTGCAGGGCCAGTTTCAATGTGATTTGTAAAAAGAGTCAAGTGCAATTTTGTTCAGCGGTTCAGGTGCAAATTGTAAAATTTTATGACAGTGGGAATAACACCTGAACTGGACTGAAAATCATAACTGACTTTTTAAAAATTGCATTTGCACTTGCTCTTTTTACCCACACATATGTGAACCGGCTCCATAGAAAGCCGGTTTGGTTCACATGTCATGAGAATCAGATGCACTTCAAAATGCAATATATAATATAATATTAATTTAATGAAAATATATAAACAGAACTGAAAACAATTTATTTGGTATTAGATTAATATATTATCTAATTTAATAATGTGTCACATGACACGAAAAATAGGTATTGTTAATTGGTATTGGCGAGTACTTGATAATAAGTATCGATACTTGTGCTCTGTCTTAAAAAAATGGTATAGTTTGGTGCATCCCTACTAAACAGTAGTTTGCAAAGTACCAATTTTGTAAAAGTTTTCTTTTTGTGTGATACTCATTTATTGCAGAGCGAATCTTGTCTGCTTTTAACTACAAGTCACACACTCAAACAACAAAATATAAAAAGCCAGCTCTTGTTCACAAGTTTAATGTGCCTTGTGTTCTGAACAGCTTCTGCTGTTTCAACATCCCATTATTTCTGCTTGCTATCAGCATTTCAGATTTTACAAATGATGAATTCTGATGCAGGTTTGCCTCCTTATTTCTGGGTCTTGTGATAACCAGTCCCCTAGCGAAACACAACCAGCAGGCCGGTGTACTTCATGAGACATGTATTCCCAGAGAATTACTGCATTTCACACGTTTGAAGACTACATGCTGTTAGTCTCCATTCTTAGCCCAACATTAGCGTAATACATTTTGTGACCACAACTTTGTCTTCAACTTACAGGTAAGTAGCAGGAGGGGGGGTTACTGGGGGACTTAACTGTTTTTGGATCCTGGAGTTGTGCTTTAAAGCTGAACTCTAGTTTTACCTTTAGTTTTGCATATTTGTACAGTCTCTATCCCTGTATTCAAATTGGTAACTCTGATTTCATTGCACACTGTGAGATCTTCACAATGTGCATTAGAATCTGCAGCAAGTCAAAGAGAACCTGCCTCATTTTCTGGCTGAAAGATATCAAGCATGATCTAGTCCTTTACTTCCAAGCCTGACTGTCCCTGGTCATGCCTGTTATTCATTGAATATTAGTTCCTTCAGCCATGGTGGCTCAGAACCACATGTGGGCACTGTGCAGGGTGGTCTCCATACAAATCCAGTCTGCCTAGGAATTTCCAGTCTTTCAGACTGACAAACACCCATCAAGGCATTTTTGATATTTGCCTAACCTTTCTCAAGATCCATAAAATTAGAGAGGTTTTGTTTTAAAATGTTATTAGCATGTTGATGAGAAGGGAGGGAAGAAGCAGGGAAAGCAAAATATAGGTGGATTAATTTTCAACCCTAACTCTAGATCTCATTTCCTTCTATATAGTTCTTATGGGTCAAGCTGGCCCAAGCAAATTATTTCCATTGATAAGAAATGTGCCCAATGTCAGCGCTTTATAAACTGTAGCATCAGGGCTGTGTTCTGCAGTGGACTGGGGACTCCTTGTCTCATTCCTGAAACAAAATTGAGTCATGCGGAGCATTGCTCATCCATTCACAGAAAGCATTCTGTTTTTATGAATGAATGCAAGGCATCCACTGATTGGCTAAGGTAGAGATTGTGACATCATCTGCCTACCCCTCCAATTGATTATTTTATAAGATTACCTTTATCACTTGAACTGTATGTACATCCTTGAAAAATCTACTTAGTTTCAAGAAATGGGTTGGATGAAACTCTGGAAATACAAGATTCTTTGTGATGTATGCAATAAAGATGTGGTAATGGATCTTCTCATGGTTCTAACCAAATAAATTTTTAAATGTCGAAAACCCTGGTTTATGTAATAAATTTAAATTTAAAATGTTTTTTATTTATGTGTTAGCATTGAGTACATGCATACTGTAAATTCTCCCTTACAGAAGGACATTGTGATAGAGATCATTGTTAATGTTTGGAATATGCAAGCCATACTAAAGTAGTATGCTATAATAAAGGTATTAAGGGCATTATGATACCAAGAGGTCTTGAAAGGCCTTAGAGAGACTAAACAAGGCCCAGTATATCCATGTGTGGTAGAAAAGGTCCATAATGTCCGAATCTCGGGAGCACAGAGAGTAGTGCCACCTCCGGAGTGCCTGCCAAGTTTGTAATTGCATCTCATTATATACCTCAGATGTTAAATGCCAGAATGGTTGAATTTTTGTACAGGGACAACAAATGTGGAGAAAGCATTTGTGGCATTGGTGAACATCTCCAGCAGGTGCTATACGACAAAGGAAACAATTGTTTCAAGATGGTTGAACATCTGTCCCACCTGGATACAATTTTGAAATGTTTCTCTTGATAGTGCTTTAAAAGAGAGATAGTATGTTAAAATGTATGTCTGAAACCAATCATCTTCTTATAGCTGCCTTCCTAGAGCCTTCTCCCAGTTTGACACAAAGGGTCACGTCTCCCATTACTGCATATAACTCTTGTATTGCCTAAGGAGCAATTGCTGGAGATGTGCATAGGCTTCCAAACTTTGTTAGGGGAGAGTAGAATCCTCCATATTGATAGGGACCTGACAAATGTGGATAATTGCCGTGCCATGAATTCTTCATGATGGATTGGGATTAAGGTACAAATTGGGGCTGTAGCTCATTCGAGTCAGGTTGGAGGACTTGCTATGCTTTCAAGTTAATAGTATTATGCAGGTTCAGGAAAGAGCCTGAGCACATACTGGGCAGGAACTAGGGGTTAAGATGTACTTAAGTACTTAAGGGTTAAGAATGTGCCTGGTCAGCTTTGGAGGCCAAAAAAGAATTCTATTGGTGTAACAGACAGATAGTCAATATGGGAGAATGTCAGCCGTGGGATGGTATTGTGGGTTCACCTATGGAAGGGTGATAAGTGGAAGAGAGGGAAAATCTCATTCTAAAATTATCCCCTCTTGTCTGTGTTGGAGTAAAACCATCTAATACTTTGACTAAGAGCGATGTTTTGTAATGCAGTACAAAGTCTAGTAGCCTAGGCTGCCTTGAGGTTTGGGCTTTGTGGGCTTTTATTCCCACCATTGGGGAGCCATTGCCCCGCATAAACCTAATGGTTGTGAAATGCAGAAAATTAAAATTGAGGTAAGTGGATAAGGACAGTTTGGAATTTGTACAGCAGGCAATGGAGTATGTCCATTTTGAGGAAGTAAAGTCTACTCAACCATGAGATTGAGAGAGAATTCAAGTCTGTGAGGTCTGAAAATATGCAATTGGTATGATCACTGAAATTCAGGATAGACAAGATCTATAATACCTACAGTAGATAATGGACTGCAAATAAAATGGGAAGGCTGATTGTAGGTTACTTATTTCAGATTGTTGTAAGGATATATTCAACTGCTTAAATTTCTAAACTCCCCAAACTGGGGGAAATGCTACCGAGGATATCAGGGATACTACTAATAATTTGTTCTATATTTTAACTCTAAAAAGCTCATTTTGCATTTGCTCTCCATACCCATCACTGAGAAGGTTTCTGAATGCCAGGAAAAAAGCTACAAATACAATTTTAGATAGTTGTTTCAAATGGTTGGAATTTGTTAAATTGAATGACACTTAGGAATTGATTCATTAAACTGGAATAAAAGAAAAACTAAAGTTCTGTTGTTGCCAGTTGGGTCCAATTACAGTTTTTGTTTAGGTATAAAATAAAGGATGAAACCTGATTGGTTGTTCCTGGCCACAACTCAGCCTCTGTTCCAGTTTTACTTTTTCTATTTGTAATTAATCAGCACTGAAGGGCCAGGGCACATTTGTGATCTTCTAACTGGCCACAATCCAACAGGTAATGGGCTAGTCACTTTAAGCTAGGTTGGTGTGGTGCTGGTTGCACCTAATTATTTGCATTAACCTGTAGTGTGTGCTGTTGTCTATGTGCACACAACTTTGACTTTTTCTTGTGACCCCCTTGATTTACTTGAGATGTCCATGTCACTGACACCACATGGGAGTGTTTAAGATATTTTGAAACTGTAGACTCCCTTTTGTTTAGTGTCTATGCTTTTTCTGGTTGACAGTAATTGTGTAGCGCTTTATGAAGAGCCTCATGGTGGGATCAACTAACTACTACACAACCTGGTCCAACATTTGGGTCATATTGCTGTAATTCATCAGGTATGTGCTCTACAGTGTATATGGGATGCCTATGGCTTCTATTATTTAGGCCATGTTGCATATTTTAATCCATGTAATGTTATATACTTTGTAACAATAAACATTTTTATTTTATTTTGATTCTCTGTTTTGTCACCTGAAAAGTACACCTTGTCTCTTTCATTTTTTATTTAAGCTACCGTAGGTTAGATTATAAATAGATATGTGGGTGGAGTAAGGGCAGGAGAGCTTGACCTGTGGATTGAGCAGAGATGGATTCCTTGTGTAGATGGGCTATAAAAAGGGGTAACGCAGAGCTCCATGAGTTCCCTTTTTGGAGAAGATGTTTACTTCTACTACTTCGGAGAGACAGGCAAAAGGTATTCTCTACAACAGATAATAATTTAGCACCAGAGTTACCCTGAAAGGAAGAAAATGTTTGTATTACTGGATAAACCTTGTTTTGATACTGTGCAGGTAATGTTTCCACTCGAATGACTGTTATGTTTATCCTCTGGAGTAAAGCTTACCTAAACCTGACTGGACATTCTTCTCTTATAGGCTGGGGAATAAAGAAAAAAAAAGGTGTTGAGTATCAGTGGCATCTGTCTGTGCAGCAGTGGATGGTGTCTGCCCTGTCCTATGAAAATGGGTGACTTGGGACCTAGGAACCCTCTGACATACTTGGAGGAACCAAAAGAAGCCAGCCTATGGATTATTATGGCTTGCCTTGAGAGAAAGAGCTCCCATCTGGTGACTGTGCCTAGGACGTTAGAGTATTTTGTGACTCACAAGTTTGGGTCTCCAACCACTTGTAAATGAGATCAACCCTGAAATTACCGGAAGTATGACTGCCGGTCCTGGCCCTTTCGGAGAAGGGGGAAGCAGGCCTTAACCTTTGGTTGATCCTGCTGCTGCGTTATAACATCCGGTTGCAATTGTGACCATATGACCAAAATATCATGTTATATATAATTACATTGTTTCAAATAATAAATGCTAAAAAAACGAAATATACACAGTAGCACCATGATTACAAGTCATCTTCATACACAGACCACCTACACTCCACATAAACATACTTAGTAAAAGATCTCGCACTCCTAAACCACATTTAGATCTTGTCGTCAAGCACATAAATCATATAAACACATTATCTAAGAGAGCGTCAGCCTGTCTTATCTTAGCATGTTGCTAACATTATTTTTACTTTTCTTACAAAGAGGAAAGTCTTTCTGTCTACATGATGAGCTAGTTACAGTCTACTGAGGAGCTTAGGACTGTGCATGGTACATTATGATGGGATGATGGGATTTTATAAGTGGCGCCCAGCAAACTAACAATAATTTGAACTCGGTTTCATGGATTTTTTTTTTTCTCTCTCCAGCTCTGTGAAAAAAACTCAATGCACTGCTAACCTCTGCATCTTGAAAAGCTATTATCACAAATCTGATTGCAGACTGGTTCCTTTCCTCTGCTAATCCTTCCTAAACAAGCTTTTGAACAAGTCCATACACCTCTGTGGGCTGTGTTTAGAAAGGAGGATGCTCAGTGTATTAGAGCTGCATTTTCTCTGACTTGGATTTCACCAGTAATCCCTGAGTTAACCCTCTTCTAGTCTTCCCAGCTCTCACAATATAGGTGATGATGAAGGATTTATCTAGGGTTAATAGGCGTTATGAAAGCCAGAACAGCAGTTGTACTTGGTAACCAATTAGGTTTCGTCTTTCATTTTGTTTAATTGCAATGAGATTATTGAAGTGTATAATTACTCTTAGACCCATATTACATATTTGCAATGCATTAAAAGAAAAGTATGGCTAAAGCTTTTTTGGCCAAACTTCTCTTCTGGGTCGCAAGAGTGCACTTATCAGAATCAGCTGACAGCAGGCTAAAGCTTACTGTAGGCTGATGTCACAGAACCACTCCAGGCTCTGGAAGGATCCTGACCATCATTGATAATAATCAAGATCCACCCAGGATGAGAGCCAATGCCAGCTGTGCCCACCTTCTCTCTAGCCCTGCGCTCCAGTGAGCGCCAGAGGGAGAGAGAGGAGAGCAGTGACTGAAAGTTACCATGAAGACATAGAACTGAGTGATCAGCGGTTATGTGATTGCTCAATTCTTAGTTTTAAAGCCAGTGGGGGACAGCTGCAGCAACATTCTGTAGCATTGAGATGCGTATACATATTTGGATTTTCCATGCATGGTAACATGATATAAAGTAGATCTACAGTAAAGGCAAAATTTTTTTTTTTTTATAGAGTAAGGGAGGGTTATAACCACTGACATAAAACACTATTTTTATATGACTAATAAGGATGTGGCACTTATGGTAAAGCCCTTTATAACTCAGTGTTTGCTTTGCCACACTGAATCCCATTGGGGAGATTTCCTTTGACTTCCTGTCCCAACACACAACAGGAAGTGAGAGGAAATCCCTCCAAAGTGAAGAATTCCCTGGCCCCATACTGGCCCCATAACGGATGGTCAGGGGAAGTTGGTTACAAGTGACAGGGAGAAGGCAATTTTATTAACCACTTGCCCTGCAGAGGATTTACCCCCCTTCCTGACCAGGCCATTTTTTGCAATACGGCGCTGCGTTACTTTAACTGACAATTGCACAATCATGCAACGCTGTACATAAATGAAATTTGTGTTCTTTTTTTCCCCACAAATAGAGCGTTCTTTTGGTGGTATTTGATCACCTGTGCATTTTTTTTTTTTTTTTTGCTCTATAAACAAAAAAAATACCGACAATTTTGAAATAAATATATATTTTTGATTTTTTGCTATAATACATATCCAGTAAAAAAATCAAAAATCAAATTTTTCTTCATAACTTTAGGCAAAATGTATTCTGCTACATATCTTTGCTAAAAAAAATCCCAATACATGTAAATTAATTGGTTTACGTGAAAGATATAGCATCTAAAAATGGTGGTATATATACTAGATTTTATTTGAAACAGTTTTTTTATACTAGTAATGGCGGGGATCAGCGACTTACAGGGGGACTGTAGCGGCATTCTGACACTGGGGAGGAATTGACTAGCTACCACTGACATCCCCAGTGACAATAATACAGTGATCAGTGCTAATTAAAAACACTGACACTCTAGTAATGACACTGGGCAGGAAGGGGTTAACATCTGGGGTTAACTGTGTGCTATGTGCTGTTTTATTAAGTGTTCCACTTCCTGTTTTCTCACATATATATTCTTATTATTATAGCCGAATTTACCACCCTAACTCCTCCCACAGTTTTTACACTACATAGACAGTAATAAACCGAAACGTGCGGATTGTTCCCGATTGGTGTGCTATTACTTTGTGGAACGTTTCGCTGAATGGTTCACGAAATATCGGCGTTTTTGTGGTGAAATTGGTCCCATAGGAATGAATGGTGGAATGTTCAAAAGTAGTTACTCTGCCCAGTCCAACCTTTTCACAGTTACTCCAGCCACTCCAACCACACAACAGTTACTCTAGCCACTTCACCCAGTTACTCCGCCCACTCCAGTTGTAGACTACTGGTGGAGGCAAGAACACTTCACACAATTTCCCCAGAAATTGTAGATTTTCTAGTTAAGTGTGCTGTTTTACTAAGTGTGCTGTGTGTGTTTTACTAGGGAAACATACTACTGTGTATTTCTCTGCACAGGAGAGAGACCTGTGCTGTTTACACACAGGTCTCTCCCCGTCAGTGATTGCCTGGTGCTGGTGGGGGCCTGGACCGGGTGATCGACATAGCCACCAATGGCAGTTCTTAAAAGACTAGAAACACTTAACATGAACAAATAACGAGGGCCAGATGGATTACACCTGAGAGCCCTCCAAAAATTTAGCCAGTACATTGCTAGACCGTTATTCCTAATCTTTAACCATTTGCCGCCCGGCCTATAGCCATTTGGCGGCCGCAAAAATGCATTAGCTTTCCGGGGTGTATGCCATTTGGCGTCCTCCCGCACATGCGCAGTTCGCGCGGTTGCAGAGCCGCGCAGCGGCGCGATCTATCACTGGCTGTGTACCTCGGACATGGCCGATGACAGGTCTGAGTACCGGCCCCTGTTGCCGGTACCATGTGACCTGCTGTGACCAATCACAGCAGGTCACATGACAGTTGTATACAATGGATGCTTCATTCATGCCATCCATTGTATACTAGTGTCTAGCTGTGAATGGTCACAGCAGGTCACATGCACATGTCATGTGATTAGCTGTGGCCAAATCACAGCTAAGCACAAAAAAAAAAAAAAAAACCTGAATGAATCGATGTCATTCAGGTAAATGCTTGCTTATAGCAAAGTAATTCTTTGCTATAAGCAAATTGTGTAAAACAAAAAAAAAAAAAAAAAATACTGATCACTTCCCCAAAGTAGTAAAATGTTACTATGGTAACATTGTACCACTTTGGTCATAGTAAAATATGAAAAAAAAATCTTACAAAGATAAAAAAAAAATGTAATAAAAAATTAAAAACAAATTAAAGAAAAAAAAAAATATATATATATATATTTTTCATACTGTCACCAGTCAGTGTCCCTGTTCACTGACATGCCAGTTATATGATGACGCTGTACTGCACTTGTGACAGTATGTAAAAAAAAAATAGTGAAAATAATTTTTTTAATTTTTTCATTTTCCGAAAAAAATTATGACAAAAAAAATACAACTTCAAAAAACTCGCCATGCCTCTTATGAAGTACGTCGGACTGTCTACTCTGCAAAAAGGGGTCATTTGGGGGATATCTGTACTATTCTGACATTGTTGGACCTCAAGAAATTAGATTGGCTGTCAGTACTTCAGGATTGATCAATATTCAGATCTATACCATAGTTTGTGAACTCTATAACTTTCCTACAAACTAAATAATACATCCTAATTTGGGTTATTTTCACCAAAGACATGTAGCAGAATACAGCTTGGCCTAAATTTATGAAGAACAATTATTTATTTGTAAACTTTTATAACAGAAACAAAGAAAAACGTGTTTTTTTTTTTCAAAATGTTTGGTCTTTTTTTGGTAATTTAGCAAAAAATAAAAACCCCGGCGGTGATTAAATACCACCAAAAGAAAGCTCTAGTTGTGTGAAGAAAATGATAAAATTTTAGTTTGGGTACAATGTTGTATGACCG